AAAAGGAAAGGAAAGGGAGAAAAAGAAAGGAAGAAAGAAAGAAAGGAAATTATTAAAATTCACTGACTATATATAAATTTCACTGACCATAAAGTGCAAACTAAGGCTTTAAAGCAGGGTTCCCAACTGGGGGCCGTGTACCAGTCAGTGGCCTGTCAGGAACTGGGCCACACAGCAGAAGGTGAGCATCGCCTCCTGTCACATCAGCGGCAGCATTAGATTCCCACAGGAGCACGAACCCTACTGTGAACTGTGCACGGGATGGATCTAGGTTGCATGTTTCTTATGAGAATCTCATGCCTGATGATCTGAAGTGCAACGGTTTCACACCAAAACCATCCCTCCTGGCCCTTCACAAAATGGGACCCTAGTGCCAAAAACGCTGGGCACTTCTGCTTTAAAGTCGATATTCAACCTTTTTAAAGTCAGTCTCTAACAGGACCCTTACTCTGAGCCAGGAGTTTCAACGTTGTCACTTATACAGACACCAGATTTCATGACAGTCACCCAGGCAACTGATGTCTGTTTGGTCTTAGAGTATAAGTAGGCTCAGGTCTCTTCCCAATGTTCATCACTGTCCACTTATTCCAGAATACTGGAGAAATTTCCCTTCTCCTAGTTCATAATCAGGGAAAAAAAGAAACACCATTTTTTTCTAGCCTGTGGTGGAAATTTTTCTCAAATATATATATACACATACTTCATGATTAATGGCTGCCCTTGGAATACCGACCTTTGTTAAGACTCTAAAACCAAAGTGACCCATCCACATTGAGGGACGATAACTGACAACCAATCAATTCTGCAAACCACCATTTCATCGTTATGGAAACCCTAGCAGTGGGAAATCCTCAAACAGTACAAACACCAATAAACAGTACATAACTCATAGGCTTAGGGAAGGGATGTTCTTCAAAATCATCTAAATGAATCAAACAGAATAAAACCTACTTACAACTGCTACTGCAATGTAGTGAACAAAAATTCGTTTTTAGCCGGGCGCGGTGGCTCAAGCCTGTAATCCCAGCACTTTGGGAGGCCGAGGCGGGTGGATCACAAGGTCAAGAGATCGAGACCATCCTGGTCAACATGGTGAAACCCCGTCT